AAGCCAAGTGATGTTCTATTCAATGACAAGAAAGGGTCTGGTGCATAATCTCATTAATCAATATAAACGAAAAACTAAGAATCTCCCTCAGAATATATCGATTTTCCATCCGTTTCCATAGAAAATAAGCCCGAGAAGTGGGCGGCGCGTCGCAAACGCAAACCGCCGCACGCGTGTTTTGCAACGGTGCGGCGCGGTCGGGTGGTCTCGGATTGTGCCGATTGCCGCCAACTTTCCCTCCTATTGTAGTGATTTGAACGCGATTCATGTGATTTTTTCGGTGAAAAAAATAATCATAGAGTAGACACATATGAAATTCCAGTAATACCCTCAAAGTTTCAGCCAGATTGGAACACTCTCCGAGTTTTCGCGGAGTTTTTTTTTCCTTTTTTGCCGACTCCCTGAATAAACCCATAAAAAGAGAAACTAAATCCGGAAAATACAAATATTTTTAGTTTACTGTAGTTTTCGTTGTGGAACCTTCGTACCAGAATAATATTAAACATTCATGAGCTACATTAGTTCCTGGTGGTGTCTTACATTTTTTAAGTCACATGTTTTCTTACTGCAAGTGTCTCTTATCGTATTTTCCCTTCCTCAATTTTTTGTGTAGGAAACACTTTTGCACTACCCTTACTATTTTTACTCTATTTTTAATTTTCAGTCAAAATTTGATGATCCGCCAGGAAAGCTCAGATTACCTACGACAGAAGCAGGCACAATGGGAGAAAGAAAAGGGTTTTTTATTCAAGAATCTTTCTTTATTTTTAGCTAAGTTTCCATTTTCAGCAGAGTCCGAAAGTCGTCCTGAATGGTTTCCGTTTGGTGAGAATCTGACACCTGGAGGAGGTTCTCCCCTTCGAAAATTTGTTCCAAAAGAGCCTGTAGTAAGTTTTTTTGTTGTTCAAATTCCATCCTTTGAATTTCAAAAGCCGCCCGTTCAAATTTCCAACCCATTGATCGTGATTGTTATAAACCATATGATTCATCATCCAGAAGACTTTCTTCCCATTCAACACAATTCTGAAGCTTTTCCGACCAATTTGCCACTGGTTTGTATTGCTGTTGACCTAGAATTCTCCCTCCATTTGGTCTCCTGCTTTATCGTTTTCTTCTTATTCGAAATAGGGGGCGAAGAGCATGTGATAGCTTATCAATTGACACTCGAAATGTTGCGATTTTTAAATCACCAACAACTCCATTGGGTTAACGACCTTTTTTATTTTATGACCTCCCTCAGGTGTCAACCGGAATTCGAATTAAAAGTAAATGAATCCTTATCGGAGTGCATGGAGCATGCCAATCAGAAGAAGCTCATTGGGAGACAGAAGTTGATTTTTTTCAGTTTCTTTCATTCTTTCCAAATATCTTCAAAGAAATCGCTCGTCATTCTGGAAGCAGCTGGATTCTAATTTTGGAAAAAAAGAAGAGGTTCTATTCCGGAGGCTCATCAATTGGGCTCCACATGACTCCCGGAACAATTTCGTAATACTTTCTCCTCAATTTCTTCTTCTTCTTCTTCATCCCTTTTTTTTCGATTCAATGCACCAGATGTACTCTTTTTTTTCTTTTTTTGATGACTGCGAACACGACGAGTTAGTTTTCATCTACAACATTCATTCGACAGATGTTCCGATCTGGTTCGATTAATAAAAAGTTTCTCAGAAAGTGGAATTTTTGAGATGGTTTAGCAGTTTTCTTGCTCCTATTTCGCCGTATCTCTGCATTCCGACACAAACAACTGATGAGTAATCATTTGAATCATCGGTTCCCTCTAGAATTGTTCTTTTCAGCTGTGAAGATGATAGTATTATTCTGGTACGAAAAATCGGAGTTGTGGAGGACAAACGGCGGTAGCCGTGCCCGAAGGTCCTACAGCGAACACTACAGTAACATTTTCAGAATTTATTTTCTCGATTTTCACTGCTTTCCGTCGAGTTTGATGTTATTGTTTCCCCAAAAAAAAAGCCGAAAGTTAAAATTTTTCATAGTGGAAATATTCTGAAAATGCACAAAAATAGGAAAACTAAATCGGGAAAATATTTTTGGGTGACGGTAGTTTTCAGTCCTTCAGTCTGGGCCACCAGATTCTTCCACAGCTCCGATTTTTCATCGTAATAATAGTTCTTATAGATTTAATTTGCTTCTGTGATGATGATTTTCCATACCCCGACAGTACCTATCATTTACAAAAAACTGTCACAAAGCAACATTTTCTACAAAAGCCATGATGTTTTTCTTCCTTTTTTTCAATCTCTCTCCGGCACAGTATTCAAATGTAAGCACGATTGCATCTTTTCATTGAATCTCTGACAGTCACACACACACACACACACACACACCGTAATCCGATTAAGTTCTCCTTCTCGTTCTTCTCACTTTCCTTTCTTCACGCTTCGTCGAAATTCTCACTCTTCCTCTCGCTTTTTCGCGGGTTTTTTGCTTCTTCGCCACAGAAACCACACACAATTCTCATTTGTTTTCATGAGCCTTCATCCGGTTTCATGGGAAGACTTCTGAAGACGTTATTTTTCTTTTCTAATAACTATTTTTGTTTGACAAGCGAGCAAAATAGCAATATTCGTTTTAGTGGCTCGGAAAATATTGACTTTTGAGATTTTGAAGTAACCAACTTTGCTTTTTTTTTCAAACATTCACGATTCTCATAAAATAGCACGAAAAAAATAAAATAAAATCTTTCTAGGTCTCTTATCATGAATTAACATTTTAGGAATCCTCAACCCGCAAGATCAGTGAAGAGGCATCTACAAGTATGCATTCCATCGAAACAACGACGTCTCCAGACAGAAAACAGTCTGATGATGTCAACTCTTGTCAACACAATCAGCATTATCATGCTCCTCCATCTCTACCACAACATCACCCAAATAGTCATCATCCCTACTCGTATCCTATGTACTCATTCCAATATCCAATTGCTCCTTTCCACCATCAGATGACGGCTTCTGTGTCATCGTGTGGAGAGCAACACACTAACCAACATCCACAGGTGTTCGCCCCACATTATCAGGTCATACCAGCTGGAGCCATTCCTGTCAGCACAATAGTACGTGATCCTAGCAAATCCACACCTTATTCTAAAGTTCAGAGCATCGATCCATCACAAATTTGTCCTGTTGATCAGATGGGCATGTGGACTTTACCACCTCCAACTGGACCAAATGGAAGTAAGAGAAGATTTTCTTAGCTCACCAAAAAAGTCATCCATTATTTTCAGTGCGGTACGGGATACCAATTCCTGCTCCTCTCGTGCCTCAGATCACTGCGTCTATAATGGAATCTTCTAAAATGACGTCTTCTATGAATAACACTATTCTAAATGCTATGACATCGTCCACATCGTCGAATGATTCGTCGTCGGAATCTGGAGTGAGTGGTGTCAAAGAGTCAAAAGAAGACAAGAAAAAGAAGAAGGATAACGTGGAAGCAGATGAAAAAATTCATCGAGAAGAGAGACAGTCGACTTCTGATTACACTGGTAACAATCGAAATTCGGTTCTTATATTTTTCTTGATCTTTGAAGATGATGACCCGATCCCATTGACCCGTCGTAGTACTACTGGATCTATTACTTACAATTACGCCGATCAAATCGCCGAGCGACGGAAATTTGAGCAAGAGCAGGAAGATCGAGAGCGCCAGGAATTACTTGAAGTTGAACGGCAACGTCGTATTCTGGAAGATCGACGCAACTCGGAAGAAGAAACAAGAAAACGAGCAGATAGAGAAAGAATTGAAGTGAGGAATTTTTTGAAAGTATTACAGTTTTATCTAATTCAATATTTAGGAAGAGCAACGCCGTGCAGATCAGTTCGCTGCAGCAATGGAAAAAGCTAAAAAGGAAGCAGAACTTTTGAAAAGAGCCAAACTCTATAAACATGTTCTCCGCGGTGCTGAAGAAGAGGGTGGAACTGAACAACTCAGCGAACTGGAGCAAAAATTACTAGGTGTTGACATCGAGACAGGAAGACGTCTTCTGAAAGAAGTGTCTGAAGTTGAATGGCACAAAAAGCAGGATGAAGTTGAGATGAAGAAAAACGCTCCACAGCCAGAGAAACAATCTCATAACATTTCAACTATGAGTATTGGAAACCAGTCGAGTCGAGGAAGATCTTCTTCAATTGTAAGTTTAAAAAAATTACGTTATCTTCATTTTCAAAGCTTTTTGATGTTGTAACAGCTTCTATGTGTGCCCTTACAGAGCTCTCCAAGCAAACAAGACAGTTCATTTACTCGAAATTCTTTGGGACGGCGGTCAGTTCGAACTACAAGTCGAGAAAAACAGGGATATTCTGTTGAAAAGGATCAGAACCAGACTGCCAGGTAACAAAGCTTTGGAGTTTGTGTTTTTCCTTTTTTTTGTGTCGGTATTTTCCTAGAAATCTTTTGGGTGTTTCTTACTTTTTTAGACCGAATATTGACAATAAAAATTTGTGTAGAACGTCCAGTTTATGGGTTTTTCTATGCAAACATTTTCTTCTCCCACCCACACAAGAATAACTTTTTCTTGAAAACTTTCAGCATATTTACTTGATAATTCTTCCTTTTCAGTTATTTTATTAACTGAAAACACACATGTATTAACGTTTGTTGTGCATTGATAAATATCCCATTTTTCCTCTATTTACAACTACTACCACCAAGAGAGAAACGCGTTTCTCCTTCTTTGCCGTGGGAACCACCGAAAGTGAATTTGGTATGCAAATGTGCCAGCTAGAAATAGACGTATTCCACTCTCTCTCCTTTTTTATGTCTTCCACTTTATTTTAGCTCACTGCACCACCCCTACAACCACCAATACGCCAAAAATGGCGCATTTTATGTAGATTTGAAGTGACAAATGGCCAGCAGACTAGCTTCAGCGCATGAAGCATTTTTGAGGCGCGAAAGAGGGTTTCCGAGAATTTTATGACCTTTTAGAAAGTGTGAGCGCATTGAGGTTATTTTTTAGTTCTATGAATTCGTTCCATTTTTTGAGCAGGTACTAAGAACCACAGAATACAAGTGGTATTTTTTTCGCTTGACTGCTCTTGAGCCATTCTTCTCTTCCTTCTCTCCAAACGATAGATTTTCATTTCTTCTTTTCGAAAACCTATAGAACTTCCACTCTTTTCGTACTTATTTTGCCCGATTTCCTCTTGTTTCTCCTAATCCCAACCCTAAATTTAATGAAGATGGAGACTAGGCAATCACCTTGAAGCGTTCGACGAGATTCTTGGGTTAATCCTCCATTCCCGCTCTTTTCATAGTTCTATGTTCTCAACCTCCCCTTTTATGTGACCAATTCCTAGTATGTGTGAGATCTTTTTTCTTCTACATACCAGACTTTAGAATTCAGAATAGGGTCAGACCAACAGTAAAAACGAAACCGAACGACGTTCTCTTCTTTTATAGAGCTAATGAGTCTGAGTCTCTATCGTTTCCATGCTATTCGGGCAGCCCTTCCTCTTGTTGTGAGGGAAAATAATAATAATAATAGGGGAGAGCTCATTTTGCATAAATATCTACATATTTGTGAGGAGTGTTTTGTGCTAGTATGTCGGTGGTGGTCTCTCATCATATATATATGCTAATTTTGCATAATCCAAGTGTCAGTTCCCGTTTTCTTCTCTATTTCCATATGATCATGCACTCGTCCTCGAGTCCCCGAACTTTCACAAATTCTCCGTTCCTCAACAATTGTTTTTTCAGATCAGATCCACTTCTTCCTCCACAACAATCGCCAGCAGCTCCGGTTTCTCTGGAATCTCGGCCACTAGCTCTGCCTCGTCAAAACGAGTGCCACGTGGCAGTGTCGTCTCCAGTTCAAGGAGCTCTTCCAGGAAATAGAGAGCTTCCATCTCCATCAGAAATGATGCTCAACTCGGGTAGCTATTATTGTCCAATGAATCGGGATCCCTTATCACATCGAGAGGAATCACGGGCTATTCAGAAGGTGCTTCTTTTTTTTCAGGATTAAAAATTGTTTTTTTTTTTCGAGATTCGAACAATCTTGATGTTTTTAGCAGAGATGTTCGGAACGGAATTTCGAAAATTAGATTGGAAAATATTTATTTCCAAAGCCTTTTTCAAAATTAGAGCGTTTTTAACTACAGTATTTCAAAGGCGCACGCGAAAAATTTCATTGCGGGTCTCGAGCGGAAATGCTGACAGTATATTTTTATAGTTTTTTTTTAACCAATTTTTGTGCGCTTTTTTGATGAGAAAGTGGGATTTCTACTTTAAAATTTGAATTTTAGAAAATTCTGAAATTTTTGAAAGTCCCACATTTTGAAAAACTCTGAAAATGTAATTCTGAACATCCCTGTGTTTGTACTAGTGTTTTATCAAAGATTAATCGTAAAGAAATGCCATTTTAAGCTTACTTAACTCGTAGGTCGTATTATTTTCTAGTATGTATTCGTTGTGAACTTCGTGTTTCAGTATAATCCTTTCCGCATACACACTCAAGAAATCAGTAATTTTCAGCCAACAAACTCTTCGGGTGCTTACTACAACAACAATCATTCCAAATTCGACGGTGTTGGTCGTAGATCCAACGAGACTACGGTAGGTGTTTACAAACAGGGTTTGGAGAAGCAATGTTTCGCTGGCACACCTATATATGTTCAAGCGAGCGAAAAATGTGTTGAAAAGGCAATAAGCTATTGTGAACATCACACTATCAAGCACTGTTCTTTCCTGCCCATCCTCTCCACTTTCTCTATCATCTCCCTTGTTTTTTTTTCATAAAGTCTCTCCTCTCCCTCTATCTCTCTTTTCTATTCTTCCGCCTTCCACCCCCGGTTGTCCGCCAAACTCGCTGCAGACACTGTTTGCGTAAGCTTGAAAGAAACGTAGAGGAGAAGAAAAGAACACTTGGTCATTGATGAAATAAGTAGTGTTTTTTGTCTCGTCGTGTTCCCGTACGGTTACTATCACGAATGAGTCACCACTCATCCAGAGCTTTTGTATAGCATTGGTTCCGAAACTCTATTGCTGATTTTTTTAATTTCTAATGACCTCATATATTGTTGCCTTGTGTTGCTGTTAAAATTCCATGGACGCCTCGAATCAGTCGTTTCGACAAGACGATAAGAGAGCTTCTTCCTCCCTCCCCTTCCATATTTGACATATTTTTGTTAACCTTGTTTGATGTCACAACCTTTCTCGACAGTGACTACCACACCCAGTGTGTTATGGATTTCACATCATTCATGACGTCTTTTCTGAAGCATCAGTTCATACTAATAGGCTTACAGCTCCAACCCCTCTAACTGGGACATCTTTTGATTATCATCTTTTTGAACCGAAGGAATAGGACGAACAGGCCAACAACATACATCCAAAAATTCCCCCTCCTTTTCACTTATTTCATTTAATGTTCTCATTGGGTCATACACTTTCCTCCACATCCACTCGTGTTTCGAAAGTGCACATTTCAAAATCTCAGCGCGCGGCTATAGCCTTCATGAATCCAGTTTTCAAATTTTATCATATAAAAAATACACGTGAAAGAGATGGAGACCATGAGCTAGTGCATATCAAGTTTCACCCAATTCATGTTTACCTTCCCTATGCGATTGTTTTCTCGTCCATTTTTTTATGCGAAAAATTCATATATTCTAGGCAGTGAGTGTTTTATGGAACATCTACTAAACAGTTATTAGCACTAGAAGCCTCATCTAAATATTGTTTCTTCGAAAAAAGAATCTAGCTGACACGCCTATTCTTCCGTATAAGCTCTCATATGTCACAGAGGCCTTCGGTTCAAAAATAGAATATGATTCGGCAACAAAACGGAATTCCCCTCTTATCAAAAACCATCAGCCAACCTACCACCTTCCGAGACACTTTTTTGCAGGGGTTATCACAACATTGATGATGACAGCGCCGAATTTTTCTCGGTTCTTCTATCTTTCCTCTCATTTTCCGTTTTTTTTTTCAGTTGATTCCGAGTTGTGTTTTGGACACTGTTGGAACAAACATTTTTCTTGTTGATCCTTAATTTTCTTCCCTAATTTTTTCCAATTTTCCTATGATAGATAGCTCTAGAAGTATCTGACAGAAATTCAACTCAAACCCTTTTCTTTTTGTCAAAGACTTTTCAAAGTCTTTGACAAAACATTTGCACCCATTTGCATCAGAAAGAATATATCGCAATCAGAATCATCAAAATGCATATACTTAAGAAATGATTTGATAGTGGGTCGTAAATTATATGGCACGCTAAACGGTGGTGGTAGTGTCGGTGTCTTCTTGTGTTTTGTCCACCATCTTCATCCGGATGGACACAACAGACGCTCACAACACCGGTGTGTGAATAATAAGAGAAGAGAAAAGAACAGAAATAAGAAAGATAGCTGCTTTTCCCTCTTCCCCGCTTCTTTCTGTGCTTCACACCAATGTGTGTAATACTACATTGATAGAGGGCAACAATGTTTTGTGCTATACATCACCACTTGAGTGACCAGTAGCTATACCTGTTCCAGCAAAACAAGTGTTGCACCTCTAACTAGCCCGTGCTTCTTTGAGAAAAAGTCTCCGTAGATATATGCACATATATTTATTCATCCTATTCCGCATCTTTTCTGGAATGAACAGTGTGTTTCGTATTAAACACACCTGCGGTTTTATAGCCCAACGAGCAATATTATGTGCCGTTTTATCTACGATTTTTGTATTTTTCTCTACCCGCTACCTCGCATTATTTTCTGCAAAACTCTGAGTTGGGGAACATCTGCGCGGCAGATGTGCGCGTGTTCCCAACTCTTAATTTCTTCGTCACTCCTCTCATCTGATTTTTAAGAACGATTCTTCATCGAAAAATCATTAGAACAATTTTTCCGAATTTCATTTTTGTCATCCTACGGTATCGGTGACGCGCTTGGTTGCGTACGATGCATGATATCTCACAACACAATTTTTTCAAAACGTTTGCGCGAAAATCGTATTTGAGCCGCTTCCGTCCATTTTTCGAATCTAAAATCGTTTTTTTTTTTTTTTGCAGCAATCCGCACTATTCGGTCCAATCGCCACTAGAAGCAGTATCCGGCGAGGAAATATGAGAGGAACTGGACTACCATCGCCACCTTCCGTTAGAATGACGCAAACTCATAAAAGTCAGATTAGAACTTCGAGTTTCGAAGAAAGCAGCAGCGGAGGCGAAGATGGAGGTAGTATTTCGCCAGACTTGAATCATAAGTGAGTTTTTATCGTTCTTGAATTCAACAATTTTATATACGAATTTTCAGAAATTTTGGATCGCCTCTTCCTTCTTCTACTGAAAATGTGCATCCTGCACCCTGCTCACCACCGAACAAATCAACAGAAACATTTGAGTTCAAGGTAACAGCTCTTTAATCGAAATTCTCTTCATTAAAACGTATTCTACAGACACCGTCTCGCGCTCGTAGCGCTCTCAGTTCACCAATGAATAATTTCTTAAACGGAGGCGACAATGATTCTCCAACTTCGCGACCGGCCTCTCGTCTCATGCAGCGACTCGAGCAGAAGGGAACAATCCGCAGAGACGATGAGATAATATCGCAGGAAATCAGACGCGTTGCAGAAACTAATCTCTCTCGCAGTCCTTCTTTGGCGTCGCTTCGAGGATCCATTCAGAATCTTTCTATACGTGGAAGTCATTTGAATTTGGCAGGTACTTCAGGAGAGTTGCCTCCAAATCTCACAAAATT